CCGGTCTTTTTCAATTTTGGAGTGCCTGGAAAGAGAGTGAGTTCCCCATCTCTGGAGGTATTTTACTGTACTTGGAAAAATCACAGTAAAAGAAACACAAGCTTGAGATTGAAGATTGAACCCAGTGACATTAAATATCATTCATCACCTTAAGATGATAATATATTCTAATGTCAATATGCCATAATGTTTTATTGGGGTGGGTAGCAAATAAGAGTTGCCAGATTTACATGGGCTATTTGACAACCCTCTAACCCCTGAAAGACCTATTTATGTTTGAGCCTCTTTTACTTCTGTGTTCCTAAATTTGTTGCATTCATTTGAGACTGCTAGAACCAAATCTGTCTGCAAATAAACAAGCTGAGGGGCTCTAAGAGCTCACTTTTCTATGCCAGCATGAATCTTCGTAATCATTATGTTTTTCATTCATGATGGACACATTTATTAGGAGTTATATTTATTGATTTCACTGGCAAATAATCATTCATGTTATTGATTTTGTGACTCATGTGTTCCAACCATTATCCTTGGGAAAATGAACAGCATTGATAGCTATCTGTCAAACCCAAAACATGGAGGTTTTGATCTGTAAAATAGCAGCTAACACATCTTAAAGTAATTACCAGTGTTAGCACACCTTCAGGTAGAAACTCTTAGAAACTAATCTGAAAGAAAAATGAGTAATTGGATCTTTTTGCATAAATACAAATTGTACTATGTCTTGCCATCTCCATGAAGTGTGGCAATTTACAGCTTTGTTTTCAAGAAAGATCACAGAAAGCAATGAGCAAGACATTGTTTCCAAAAAATGGTAAGTAAGCATTGTTCCCACTTTGATTTTCCATGGTAATGAGTAACATAACTTTTAATCATGGATTTTCTAGCCAGTCATATTGACAGGCATATCCTCTTTGTGTTCAGTTCTGCAAAACAGAATATAGGCTGTTCCATATGCTAACAAGGGATCTTGTTCTGAACAAGATCAAAATACAAAAAGAGAGAGATAGCCAAATTCTGGAATAAGTGTGATACATTTGTGGTGTAAATCTCTTTGATTCGAGAGCTATAAAGCAGAGAGCAAGATTGTGTGGGAAAGCAGAAGTGATGGTCTATGTAGTTACATGCTTTAGAATATGTTAAGAGGTATGTAGGAACATTCATCTGGTCAGTAATCCCAGTCACCTCTGCCCTCCTTGAAATTATAATTCTTTTTGCTAAGTAATTTAGGTTTTCAATAATGTCTCTCTATAAATAATGGGATAATACAACCCAGAAGTCAGTTTATCCCTAGTGAACCACTGGGAAACTGTTACTGACACCATATTCCATTATCAATGTTTTATATGAAGCTGAGGTCTGCAGATAGGCTCCATCTATCTGCAAAAAAGAAAAATAAAATGAGGTCCATTTAAAAGTGACCAAATAGGGGCGCCTGGGTGGCTTAATCAGTTAAGCGTCCGACTTTCGCTTAGGTCATGATCTCGCGGTTTGTGGGTTTGAGCCCCGCGTCGGGCTCTGTGCTGACTGCCAGCTCAGAGCCTGGAGCCTGTTTCAGAGTCTGTGTCTCCCTCTCTCTCTGACCCTCCCCTGCTCACACTGTCTCTCTCTCTCTCTCCTAGAAATAAATAAAAATATTTAAAAAAAATAATAAAAGTGACCAAATAAAACATGCTACAATTAAAGAGAAGAGATTTCTGTTCTGCATCAAATTGAAAAGCGTAAACGGAAGTTATGGGGAGCAATTTACCAGGGATTGCACTTTGTTTGGGGCCTGAGACATGACTTTGATAGTGAATGTTAAAAAGAACAAGGAAGATGGGGAGTGTGACTGGGTTGAAAGCCAAGTTGACTGGGTGACACTCTCCATTTTCAAGCAAATTGTTTAGTGATGATGTGACAGAAAAAAAAAATGGGGAGAGTTGTAAAACAAAACTTTCCAGTGATATTTTCCTCTTTTCATGAGTCTTAGATTGCTTTTTCTTCTTAACTGTATCATTATCCCTATCTATTGATCTAGTCATTTAAGTGTAAAATCTGTTATAAAAAAGAAGCTTCTCTTGGCTTTCAGTTATGGAAGTCTTTGTGTATGTACAATCCTTCTAAGAATAAAAATGTAGGGAGAGGAAATAGGAGAGTAGATTCAAAAATGAATAGAAGTAATCCATTGTGATGTTACTGATTATATTAACTTCTTCTAAACTTTTCTCAGAACTACCATATTTTGCTTGGGAGAAAGAATTCATTGAAAACACTAGTAGGTATTACCAGTAGACACATAGTTAAAAGTCGGGGGAAAAAAAACACAGTATAACTGTTAGTTACAGTACTTTGGAGTCACCTGCCCTAAGCTGAATACTGAATATGGTTGCATACTTGTGTGGTTGGAGGCAAGTTATCAAAATTCTCTGGTGTTTCAACTTCCTTATTTGTAAAATGGTGATGAGTATCATGTTTTGCAGAAACCAAATGAGATATGTAAAGCACTTCATGAAATGCTGTGTTTCTTAAATTCTTGATCAATGTGAGCTGCCGGTAGTAGTAGTAGTAGTGGCAGTACTACCTGCTAGTAATAACAACAATTGAAAGAGGAGGAGGAAAAAGTAGGGGTGTTTCCTTGCAAGGGATCTAATAGGAAAGGGAATAATCCAGCTAAATATACATAGGGAGGTGACAAATATGTGGTTGGGGTAAATGCTGCCAAGTGCCCTGATTCATGGAAAGGAAAGCCACATAAAAGACTGTCATGGAGCAGCCAGTACTCCAGGCAAAGTAGAGCCATGAGTACATTCCACCAAAGGCCAGTCAACTCACTAGGTACCAGAAGCCTGCTCCTTTGCCACCACTCTGTTGTAAATGGTAGGACAAGGAGTATAATTTTCATGACAGATTGGACCACAAGCCACATAATATATGAAAATTGAAGATGCTCATTTAATAGTGGTTACCTGTCATCCAACAAAATAAATAAAAATGCTAGACTCTCTATAATCCACTGTTTTCAAATATTACTCTCTTTTCAACCGACAGTAAACAAAGGAACTGACTTTGCAGACTCCACAGTCTTTCATATTTTTCTCTATTTTTTCCTTTAACAAATGTATGTACCACTTTTGACGACCTCTGCCATATTAAGTGTACTGTGTTTTTTTTTTTTTTACTTCTCCAGTGAACCAAAAATCTACTCATCAGCAAAATATACTTAGCTTTAGCTTCATCTCTGTCTTATGACAGTGAATATAGAAAGTGGTGCTGTTAACTGGGTTAGATGCTTCCACACTAAGTCAAAACTTATCTTCTTCCCCTTTAAAGAAATAGATATGACATCCATCACTTGGAGAAAAGGGCTTGGTAAAGCAGAAAGGTGAGATAAAGCCACACTTGCTTAGTTACTTATTCAGGATACATGTGGGGCTAGAGTCAAATAGACAAGCACCTTTCTCATTTTTATTGTTGCATAAGAGAAAGATGCAAAATTTAAGGTAGTAGAAGAAAAATAAAAGAGAGAGGAGACTGGGGACATTTTAACCTGTCACTGAAAAATAAGTACTCTATCTTGAGAGTGATGCATTTAACCTCATTTAAAAGGTTGAAGACGGATATGAGTTTTGGGGAGATATGCTGAGTGACTACTTTTATCTCCAGGGCACATTGCATTTCAACAGTAATTGCTTCATTTGAATTACCAAGAAAGAATAACAGCTGAATCCATGTATCAAAAATCACTCTGATTTTCTTACTGTACTTTCTGTTAAACAAAGCTCAGCTTCATATAACCAAACTCTCTATACCACATGTAGATCCTTTTTTAGACCACTTCTCCCAAAAGACAATATCCACTCTCTGAACATCCAATTTGAGGGAAGTCATTATTTTCTATTTTGCCTAGCTCATGCTTTTAGTGTGCTCTTCTTATTAGTTTCATGCGGCTGCTTTAAGAAATTACCAGAAACTTAGTGGCTTAAAATAAAAATAAAGTTACTTCCATAGTTTTGGAAGTCAGAGTCTGCACTTGATACCACTGGGTTAATATCAAGGTGTTGGCTGGGCTTCAGTCCTTTTGGGAAGTTCTAGAGTAAAATCTATTTCTTTACTTTTATAGCCTCTAGAAGCCACTTGCATTGCTTAGCTCATAACCTCCTTCCAGCTCAGCAAAAGCTGGTCAAGTTATTTCATGTCACATAATTCTCACACTGATTCTTCTAACCCTCTTTCCCATACTCAACAGTTATTATCATTACATTCAACCCCTCTAGAAAGTCCAGGATAATCGTCCCATCTTAAGGTCAACTGATTAGCAACCTTAATTTCATCTGCAATATAAATTCCTATCCATGCAACAAAGCATATTCCCAGGTGACAGGGATTGATCATGGATATGTAGCCATTATTCTACTTAAGACACTTCCAGATGCTAAGTTTTATGTTCCTCCCAGTTAAATGTCATCCAGTACTGCTTATTGTATCCCCTGAAACCACACAGAATAAATCTAACTCATCTCTTACAAGACACCCTTTGGAATGTGTGAAGATAGCAATCATGCCTCACCCAATTCTGTAAGATTATAATTATTTTAATCACTTCATGATGTTGTTTTATATCTGCTTGCTGTCCAGAAAAGTAATAACAGAAATAAGTAACATTTACTGAGCAGTGTGCTAGGTTTTGTGTATACATTGACTCATTTACATGTATTTTCTCATTTAATTACAACAACCTGATAAATTAGGTTCCCTTTTAGTCTACATTTTACAAATTTGATTCCTCTCAGGCCGAGAGGGTTTATATCAATTACCTCAAGTTGCAAATAGAGCAAAAATTGGAAGTACAGCTTGAGTCAAGTCAGTCTGAGAATAGTAGAACCTGTTCATTTAGCCATATGTTATACTAAAGGACATATTCTATTTTGACAATGTTTCTCTAAAGTATGGTCCCCAAAATTAACTGTCATGTCTTTGATGTTTTCTCTCCAACATATGAAACTATTTTGTCCTGCTAATAGGTTGAAACAATTCATTGTTGACCAGCAGAAATACAGAAATGGATATTTCATCTGACCAAAAATATTTTGGCAAGGAGAAATAATGTTAGAATTTCCTGTGCTGCCAAGGTTGTTCACAGAATGGGCAAAGAGAAAAGGAAATACATCTAAAAACAAAGTCTACATTTACTTTGAGTATGTTAAAATAGAATTTTCTTTCTAACAACAATCTTATGCAAATTGTTTTTATTATATCTTTTTAAATGTGGAATTTGTTTAACATGTACCAGACGGTAGAACCGTATTGAAGAGTCAAATTTAATATAAATATTAGATTTTAAAATGTTAGTAATACAATTAATTATTGTCAAAACTCATTTGCACTTAAAAGCAATTCATCCTGACTAGCTCTGCTCAGTTTCTCAAGAAGAAAAATAAAGCACATATGTTCTATTCTTACCGCTGATATGTCTTGAGTATAGGTTCCTAGGCTGTCACGAACCTGGAAATTAGGAGGGAGGTTTGCCTTATGGTCTTCCTTTCGTTAGCAGAAAGAGAATTGTGGGAATTTTTTTCTTTGAGGTATGCTGGGAAAATTAAATGGAGGCAGTAAGGGGGTGGTGCTAACAGTATGATTTAGATCTAGACATACAGAAATGAAAATGAAACAGAAAAAGATCTCTGATATAAAAGCTCCCAAAAAAGCAAAGACTTGAATTTAAGCTAGTAAAGACATAATTCAAGGAAAAGCAGCAAATGACCTCCTAACATTCATTTCAAGTCTTTGCCCCTAATGACACCTAAACACTCTGCTTTTCATTCATTCATACATTTAAATATCTATATTGAGTGCATACTATGCTCCAGTCAGTATGCTAGATATTGGAAATTTAAGGGATTTTCTTAAAACATCAGAAAATTCTACCCTTTTGAAGAGTATATTCAAATGAGTTGACAGAGAAAATAAAATACATATGTAAAATCTGTTTTATAATATATTGGGTGGTAGTAAATGTTAAGGAGGAAAGGGAAGCCAGGAAAAGGGGAAAGGGACTGTCAGGTTCAACCTAGAAAGGCTTTCCCAAGAAGATGGCATTTGAGCAAAGACCTGAAGGGAATGAGGGAGCAAGTCATGTGAATAAGTGGGCAGAAAGAACGGCAAGTACAGATGCCATTGTGTGGGTGGGTGCTGGAGGTCCTTATGGAAGATTCATGGTTTATATTCAAATTTGGAGAGTTTAGAGAGGAAAGAAAGAAAATAAGTGAAGAACAAGAAGTACATACATCCCAGTTGGAGGCTCAAGAATGAGCAGTACAGAAAGAAATGAAAAAGATACTACTTGATAAGGCTCAAGGGAAATGTACCGTGGGACACAGCTAGCCAGGCTCACTTTCAGTAAGGGAATCAAAAAGTAAACATTCTGAAAAGCATTAGAGATACAGGAGGTTTTGCTAAGGATTGATCTTAAGGTTTCAGAAGTGAGGAATGTGTGGAAGATCTGGTCAGAAAGTGGGATGTGCAAAGTAGCATTAAGATTAGAGGAAAAGAGATAAGAAAAAATGTGGGAGTGCAGGGTTTCTTCTTGTGAGTGACATACATGAGGAGAATGGCAGATAATCATGATTATCTCAGAGCAGAAAGTGAGGGGGAAGAAAAAAGGGTAAGGTGGGAAAATTGTCGAGATCTGCAAAGTCTGGAGCTCCTTGCTGACTGTGCTGCTGGAGGTGTGAAGTCTCATCACTGTCACTCGTGTGCTCTTGACACAGCCCTTTGTTAGAAATTGCTGATTTTCTGGATTAGGAAATAACTCATTATATTCATGCTTGCTCTTTTGGCCAAATAACTCATTATAGTCATGCTTGCTCTTTTAGAATTTGTAAATTATAATGGTTTGGCCATCAACAGTGAAGTGGCTTAGTTACACTTAACTTCCTCCTTCAAAAAAGTTGAATCCTTCATAAAGAGTCTTTAATGCATTTCATGGCTCACCATATCTAAGATAAACTGAAACTAGAATGGAGAATAGTGAACAGCAAGCAAACAAGTCTCAGGCAAAGGTAAGATTCAGCAAAGGTATATGGCAAATTAACTGTGCAAATTATCAGGAGAACGAAGCTTAGACAAGCATTAACACAAAGGTAAAACTGAGACTCCTGTGTAAGTTCAGGAGGTAATTAAGTTATTTGATTTTAGATTTTCATCAAGAAGCATGATCGGGGCACCTAGATGGCTAAGTGAGTTAAGCATCTGACTCAGTATCGGCTCAGGTCATGATCTCATGGTCCAGGAGATAGAAACCCCGGTAGGACTTTGCACTGACATTACGGAGCCTGCTTGGGATTCTCTCTCTCTCCTTGCCCCACCCCAACATAAATGTTAAAAAAAAGGCATGATCGGTATTGTCAGCATAACCACTAAAGAATAAACGTATAGCATATAATTTCTAAATAATTCCAGGGGGAGAGGTAAATGGAATATTGAAAAGAGCAAACTTTTGAAAATTTTATTTACTATTGAGAAAGAGGTGGGGAGGAGAACATAAGCCAGGGATGGGCAGAGAGTGAATCCCAAGCAGTCTCTGCGCTGTCCGTGCAGAGCCCAATGTGCAGCTCAGTATCATGAGCCATGAGATCATCACCAAAGTCAGGAGTCAGATGCTTAACTGACTGAGCCACCCAGGTGCCCCCAAATGCAAACAATTATTTAATATTTTTAAATGAATACCAAAATAGGTATATTAAACATGTCTTCATTTTCTGTATTTCTGACAACTATGGCCTTGCTGTCTCCGGAGGGACTGCTTCTCTCAGAATTAGCTAATTCCTAGAAATAGTAAATAATTCACCCATAAACATGCTTTTCACATGCAAACCAACCAATCTAGTGCCTATATCCCAACCGCTTTCATGAGTGGTTCTCACACTCTGGGCCACTATCATCTTCTCTAATAATCCCAGAGTCAGGTCCAGACAAATAGTGACAGCTTCTCTACATCAAAGCCTGATGCAATTATTCAGATTAGTCAAACCAAAACCTGCAGAAATCGAAGACTGAGAAAAAAAATATTTTTCAATGTTGATTTATGTATTTATTTTGAGAGAGAGAGAGCACAAATGGAGGAGGGAGAGGGAGAGAGGAAGAGAGAGAATCCCAGACTCCACACTGTCAGCGCAGACCCCAACACAGGGCTTGAAGTTAACAAAGCGTGAGATTATGACCTGAGCCAAAATCAAGTGATGAATTCTCAACTGACTGAACCATTCAGGTGCCCCTAAGAGATTGAGGAAAAAACTTAGGAGAACTCAGAGAAATTAGCTTACCAGTAGAGGAGCAGGAATAAAAATCAAATGTGACTACTCCTTAGAAACCATGCAAGAAAGAAGAGAATGAAGTGAAACATTTAAGGTGTTGGGGGCGGGGAGGAACCTACCAACCTAGAATTGTGTATCCAGTGAAATTAGCCTACAAAAGGAAAGAGAAATACACTGTCTCAGACAAGCAAAAATTGCAGGAATTTATTGCGAGTAGACCTCCCTTGCAAAAAAAAAAAAATGTTAAAAAAGTTTTTCAGAGAGAATGTAAATGATAAATCAAAAATTTAGATCTCTATAAAGAAAAGGAGATTACTAGAGAAGAAATAAGCCAGTATAAATGTTCTTGTTTTTCTTACTTTTTTCTTCTTTTATTTATGTATTTATTTGAATTTATTTATTTTTTTATTTTAACCACCTGGTGTTCATTATGACAAGTGTACTCCTTAATCCCCATCACCAATTTTACCCATCCCTCTAGCTTTCCCCTCTGAACAAACTATCAGTTTGTTCCCTGTAGTTGAGTCTGTTTCTTTGTATCTCTTTAAATGAATTATTGATAGATACGTATTTATTGACATTTTATTACTTGTTTTGTGGTATTTCTGAAGGTTTTCTTTAATCCTTTCTTGTCTTTCTCTCTTTCATGGTTTGGTATTTTCTTTAGTGGTATATTTGGATACCTTTCTCTTTATTCTTTGCATATTTATTAGTGGTTTTTGATTTGCGGTTTATGCAAACCTGTGGGAACATAGGTTCACTGATTGTAATAAATGTGCCAGTCTGTTGGGGAATGTTGACAGTAGGGCACACTGTGCACGTGTGGGGATATGACAACTCTCTGTACTTCCTACTCAACTTTTCTGTGAACCTAAACATTCTCTAAAGATAGTCTATTATTTTTTATTTAAAAAAGTTTATTTTTAGAGAGAGAGTACAGATGTGAGTAGGAGAGGGAAAGAGAGAACAATAGAGAGAGAATCCCATACAGGCTCTATGCCCAGTGCAGAGCCTAACATGGGGCTCAATTCCACCAACCATGAGTTCATGACTTGAGCCAAAAATCAAGAGTTGGGTACTCAACCAACTGAGCCATATAGGCACTCTGAAAAATAGTCTGGTTTTGTTTTTGTTTTTAATATTTTTATTTATTTCTAGGAGAGAGAGAGACAGCGTGAGCAGGGGAGGGTCAGAGAGAGAGGGAGACACAGACTCTGAAATAGGCTCCAGGCTCTGAGCTGGCAGTCAGCACAGAGCCCGACGCGGGGCTCGAACCCAGGAACCGCGAGATCATGACCTAAGCGAAAGTCGGATGCTTAACCGACTAAGCCACCCAGGCGCCCCTAGTCTGTTTTTTTTTTTTTAATCTTGTATAAAGTTTAATCGACTGCTACCAACTTTTTCATATATTTAGATATGTCAGGGTGTATTAGTTATAGTTTTTCAAATATCAAAAGTAGGAAAACCAAGAAGAAATTGAATGAAAGAGCCTAAAAGAATTAAGTTTTGGGTCTGAGCAAAAAACGTTTTAATAATATGATGACATTAACTTATATTAATCTGGTGTTTGTAGTTTATAAAGGTGACCTCATTTACCTTATTTAATTAATACTATCTGTGAGCTTCATGGGTAATCAATTTTTTAATTATTTCATAGTAAGAAAACTGAATTAGTTGCCCAAAGTTGCAAAAATAGTACGGAGTAGATTTTCTTAAATCTCTGATATGTCCATTACTCCTTTACGTGCAAGATAGTAGAA